GAAAGTAATTTTTCTAAGAACCAAAGGAGAACCTTTAGGGCACGTTACAGGAACGTTCTGCGCTATCTGGGTCATACTTGTCAGGTATAGTTCACTTTTATTTTATCTCACTAAAATATCCAATGAATGGTGGCCAATATTGAGAGATATCGTGAGGCTACCCTCACGTATCTGAAATTACATGATCAATTTATGTTAACTTATCATGAAAAGCATGCAGTTACTTGCTGTATAACTCTGATGATGTCTCCCGAGTGGCACAGTGGTTTAAGGCACTGTGCCACTAGAGATCCTGGTTCGAATCCAGGCTCTGCCACGACCGGGAGACCCATGGGGCGGTGCACAATTGGCCCAGCGTCGTCCAGGGTAGGGGAGGGAATGGCCGGCAGGGATGTAGCTCAGTTGGTAGAGCATGGCGTTTGCAACGCCAGGGTTGTGGGTTCACAATGACAAAAAATGTAATGATAGACCTAATGTGCGCAATTGTTTTGCATGGAATAAGCCAAAATTTGTAGTTTTGACTATGCTCTTCAAGAGGTGATGATATTACAACCAAATAGTTAAGATTTATTTAACAATCCCTTGAAAATGGCACACAGTTAGTTGTCAATGGTTTTAGCAGAGCTGGGGGCTCCTTGCCCCCCAGCAGGTAAATCGAACGCTCTGCACTTTATTGTGACGTTTTATTGATATCGACCTATAGAAACTGAATGGTGAAAGTAATTTTCTTTCTAAGTGAGTAGATACAGTAAGATGTTTCTGAACACTTCTAAATTAATCATGATAATGCCATGATTAAGAAAAATCATGAATAATGATGAGTAAGAAAGTTAGAGGCTACAACAAAACATGCTAACCTCTCATCATTAATAATAACAGGGGAGATTAGCATTTTTGTAGGGGGTAGGATCTTAGTTCCTCTGTAACTTTCTCACTTTTTATAATTCACAATTCATTTAGGATTATCCATAATCATAGCATCCACATTAACGCAGACGTGTTCAGAAATATTTTATATTCTTACTTACTTTCTTTCGTAGTTCTCTTTCCTCCTTCCCTATCTTCCTTTTCTAGCTTCCTTTCCTTCTTTCCTTTCCTAGCTCCAATACATTTTTAGAGAGTCCACCCTCTTTTTAATCTAACAGCCTCTTTGCTCTTGTCCACCTCAAGTCCACCAGATTCCTCAAGACCATGCAAGACATTTGCTCCAGCAGACACTACCACAAGAAAACCCAAGGATTCATCAGACACACAAGGGAGAGATGGGGAGGATGTGTCGATCCGACGCCGAGGATAGACACATCTTCTCTGTCTCTCCTTCTTCTTCTCCTGGTGGGCAACAATACCTCACTCACTCATGTTTCAGTATCAGCTGGTGGAGGGAGAGATGTGTCCATCAGTTGCATAGGAAAGACATCATCCCTGTCTCTCCTTCTCCTGGTGGGCAGCAATATACACTTACCTCACGCTAATCCTCCTCATTGTCTTATAGTGAAATGCCCCTTAAAATGTCTTTCAGCGCTAATTTGGGAAATGCTCATCAAGCAAGAAAAAATCCTAGAACAGCAAATGCTCATCCTACGCCTAATAGCAGAATGCTGCCATTATGTGATCGTAGAAGGCCTTCTGCTGTCGAAGGATCAACAAGGTCTCCAGAGCCTGGAACCCAAGTTTCAGGGGGCTGACTCAAAACTGAAACTGAGTTTCATTCCACGTTGTATCTAATGCTCTTTTTGAGAGATTCAATTTTACAGCATTCTATTCACCCTGTTGCAACTGCATTTTCACATATTTGCAACCACTTGTGCTCTTGTTCATTAGCTGCTGTCCAGAAGAATTCGATAACATCTGAAGCATCCGAGAGCGAAGTGGAGTTGGTCATGAAAAGGTGGTTGCAGCTGGCAGCAGACTGAGAAGGAATGTGGAGGCACCTGCGCCATGATGGACATGGGGAGAGGGGTGTATTTTGAGGGTGGAAAATGGTATGAAGTGAGGGATGGTACGTGCTAGCTGATGGAGGGAGAGATGGTGAGGATGTGTCCATCCATCACCGGGGTTAGACTCATCTTCCCTGTCTCCCCTTCTCTTGCGGGGCAGCAATTCAGAAAGTATTCTGACCCCTTGACTTTTTGCATATTATGTTACAGCCTTATTCTAAAATGGATTAAATAAATAAAAATCCACATACATCTACACACAATACCCCATAATGGAAAAGCGAACACTGGTTTTTAGAGATCTTTGTATTAGAAACTAAAAACAGAAATACCTTATTTACATAAGTATTCAGACCCTTTGCTATGAGACTCGAAATTGAGCTCAGGTGCATTCTGTTTGCATTGATCATCCTTGAGATGTTTCTACAACTTGATTGGAGTCCACCTGTGGTAAATTCAATTGATTGGACATTATTTGGAAAGGCACACACATGTCTATATAAGGTCCCACAGTTGACAGTGCATGTCAGAGCAAAAACCAAGCCATGAGGTCGAAGGAATTGTCCGTAGAGCTCCGAGACCGGATTGTGTCGAGGCACAGATCTGGGGAAGGGTACCAAAAATGTGCTGCAGCATTGAAGGTCCCCAAGAACACAGTGGCCAGCATCATTCTTAAATGGAAGATGGAAAATATGCTCTAACCCTATCAACACCAGGTAGAATTCTCAGGTTTTGACCTCCTGTTGTCTAATTACTGTTTCCCCTTCTTACTTAGTGGGCTCACCAGAGGAGGCTGGTGGGAGGAGCTATAGTGGGATGGGCTCATTGTAATGGCTGGAATGGAATAACATTTTCATGTTATCCAGAGTGTTGGTGACTGTAACTGTGATACTGGCAACAATTTCATTACGCTGTTTTTGCCGACGTTTACTGGCACCGACCATATTCAACGGGTGTTTAGCGTTCGTAAATTCATCAGTTATTCTGCGCCCTGGCACACTCAGACGAGAGTGCTCTGAAATCGGAGTAGATAGCCAGAGTGAATTTACGAACGCGCCCTAAGTCTTTTCGTTCTAAATCTATGGACGCGATCCAGTCATTTGGTTGCCGTGATGGCTGGCAACGTTCTTATCCCTTGCTTGCTAGTTAGCCAACTTTGGCTAACACAGTCACGTCAAACAGTGCAGCCAGAATAACAGCAATTTAGCTGCATTTGTGTTTGTTTAAGCTGTTTTCTAGTGATTTTTGTGGGATAAATCCATTACAATGAGCTAATGATGTGCGATTTCGCCTGGCATAGAACATTTGCTCTCTCGCAAGGCCACTGTTCAGAAGAGAGAGCCAACTAAACAGCTGACACAATCACTTTAAACTGAAGCTGGAATGACAGCAAACTAGCTGCATTTCGTGTTTTTCTATTGAAATGTCTTTGTATATATCCATAAAATGATGCTGATTCATGATTTCAACTGGCTGAGAAAAGCTGCCAGCCTGTCTGTCTCGTCCGGACTCCCGACACGTTCATTACCATAGGACAGCAGGAGCTCGAATTTCATTATTGAAACAATGTTGTAAATGTCGGAGAGACAGACAAGGTTATTACAAATCTTCGCTGTTGAAAGCCAAATGCTAGTATAAAAGAAATGGAAGATAATGCCTAGATGCTTTTTACAGTGTAGATCTAGTATATAAATTAATTCATATGCTGAGGAAGTGAAGAGCGGAGTAAAGGAAGATGGATCCAGGGCGAGGGATCCTAAGAGGCTCCCTGTGAGTAAGCCAAGGCCAATAGAGTGAATAGAAATAACGTGCGCCAGTAAGCTTGGTTTCTTAGCATTCATAGCCAAGGTTATGAACTGTACTGCAGAAATGGAACATAAATAATAGAAAGTAGATGTTGTGGTGGTAGCTGCAGAGAAGTACTTGGGTGTACGAGAATTTACTGCAGAAGAGTTACAAGGTGTGTTAGTGGCAAGGTTTTAATGGGTTTTAATGGGTGGAACAGGGTTGGAGTTAACCCACAGCACGGTAGCTCTCCAGGAACAGGGTTGGAGTTAACCTACAGGACGGTAGCTCTCCAGGAACAGGGTTGGAGTTAACCTACAGCACGGTAGCTCTCCAGGAACAGGGTTGGAGTTAACCTACAGGACGGTAGCTCTCCAGGAACAGGGTTGGAGTTAACCTACAGGACGGTAGCTCTCCAGGAACAGGGTTGGAGTTAACCTACAGGACGGTAGCTCTCCAGGAACAGGGTTGGAGTTAACCTACAGGACGGTAGCTCTCCAGGAACCGGGTTGGAGTTAACCCACAGGATGGTAGCTCTCCAGGAACAGGGTTGGAGTGCGCTGGTGTGGAGAGTGTGCTTAGATAGACTGCCATAGTTATTCCAACAGGCACTGAGGAACTGCTAAAGACATCATAATGTCAAATCACATCAACATTATCAATAAAGTGTTTGTGTGTGTGTATGTAATATTCAGGATGATATTTGTATTAAAAATGTATGCACTCACTAACTGTAAGTCGCTCTGGAAAAGAGCGTCTGCTAAATGACTAAAATGTAAAATGTGTTGGTAGGACAATTTTGCTTCCCTTTTCCCCATCCCGTGTGTCACAAAGTGTAATGAATTCACACTCCAGAACAGTAGGCAGAAACATGGGGCTAAATAAGAGAAATAGATTAATAGGGAGGGCGTGACCGGCCTAACACTCCAGTACAGTAGGTGGCGGTGTATTTACCTTTGATGGTTGCGATCTGCCAATACAAATTTCAAGAAGATAGACGATGGAGCCCTGAAAAGGAGCAGCAGTATTCCACTAGTTACCACAGCCACAAAGTCCAACTTGGCTATATCGAAGTAATTATATAAACAAAAAATTGCTTTTTGGTTTTCATTTTAAAGTTAGGGTAAGGCATAAGGTTAGCAGTGTGTTAAGGTTAGGGTTAGGTTTAAAATCATATTTTAAGAAGATACATTTTAGAAATAGGCGGGGTTTATGACGTTATGGCTGTGCAACGACCGTACCTTTTAACGAGACTGTGCCCCTGCCGTAAAGCAAAACGTGTTGACGACGTAATACATTCAACATGGCGACCTCTGTAATGGCAGGCGGTGGTAAGTCAAATAATATTTTACTTGAAATGCAGATGTCTTTTTCATTCTCTACCTCTTCTAAAGTGTGGGTTAGAATGAACTTAACATGTTTTCATAGGGTTCACACTACTCAGGAGTGTTGCTGGGCAGATACACTCAAGGTAAGGAGAACCAGCTAACTTTAGCTAACAGCGCTGTCATTTCAGTAAAGGACATATCAAGCAGTCAAATTATACATGTGCATACAACTTCCAGAATTGTGCCTATTACAAGTATTTGCCCAATTTTTATTTTATTGCGCCTCTTTCTACTGTCTAACTTATCTAACGTTAGCTAGCTAGCTAGCTAGCTAGCTAGCTTCTTAGTTAAGTTCTCTTCTCTATCCTTGCAGGTTATTTGCTTTTGGTAAACCCCAGAGGCTCTCCTGCATCCACACCAGCGCCTCATTAGATGTCAACAAGAACTGGGACAGGAAGAACCTGCAAATGTTCCCACCACAGCAGCCTGATGAAGCACGAAGACCTGCAGTGAGTTCCAACAACAAAGTGATACATACAGTAGTTATGGTTAAATAAATACAAATAAAATGTGTTTCCATGGAAATCATTCCAGATCTGGCAATTTATTGTTAAACAGTGGTTTTCAGTTGTTGTGGTATACCAAATTCAGACCAATATATTTCTTTCACAGGAGGTGCACCACTGCAGGAGGCAAATCAAGTACAGCAAGGACAAGATGTGGTATCTCGCAAATATGGTGAGTGTCTAGCAGGTTTGAATGTAAAAGCAACATGCTGAACACCTTCCAAGTAGCCCTAAACAGAACAGAATTTTACTGCATATTCTCAGTCTTTAGATGCTCCACTCAAAAGCTCATAGACATGTACTTTCTTGACTTAATCTTCTTGCCCCAATTGGGAGCATAGGGAGTACATCATGGCTCTCCTCCTAACTATTTTCTGTGCAAGGGCTTTTTCCTCTTGCAAGGAGATCCCCGTTTTACTAAGTTATTGTAAAGTGGAGCATCTCCAGTATTTTTATTTTATTGTTATTTTTTTCCCACGCATGCGGCAATCAATTGAACACAATGTGCTTGCTTGCACAGATATGGCACACATGCAGGACTTTTATTATGACATGAGGTGAAGCGGAGAGGATGTGATTTCAGGCACCTGCAACAGACCCACGTTTGAAAAGTCTGTTTAAAGGCCCAATACAGACGTTTTATCTCAATATCAAATCATTTCTGGGTAATCATTTCAGTTAAGGACCTAACTGTAATAGCTTTCCTTTAAAACTGTCAGAAATATTATTTATGTGCAAAAACATTTTTCTCAAGCAATAATTTTGCTATGACTGTCTGGGAGTGGTCTGAGTGGGGAGGGATTTTACATTTACATTTTAGTCATTTAGCAGACACTCTTATCCAGAGCGACTTACAGTTAGTGAGTGCATACATATCTTTATTTTATAATTTTTTTTATACTGGCCCCCCGTGGGAATCGAACCCACAACCCTGGCGTTGCAAACGCCATGCTCTACCAACTGAGATATGTAATCTGAAAACTAGCTGTTATTGGCAGAGGGGCTTGGAACTCTCTTTGTTATTGGTATATATTAACTTATACCGTCTGTCACCAGGCAAGCCAAAACTTCACCCATGCAAAACATGCTCATTTGAAGGTCCTGTTGAGGTTGTATTTTCAACCAGCAACTATCAGGAAATAACACTGATCAAATTTCTTCATACTTTTACAGTGTTAGTTTCATCGGCTGTTGCACAATAGAGTTTCCGTTAGGAAAATGTGGTGCTGGACAACGTGACCGGGAAGATTTTAATTTACCAGCCATTTGAGAAATGTATCGTACCCATATGCATTGGGTGCGTAACACATTAGGGTGTCCACCCACAGTGCTTAGAATGACAGAAATCACATTTAGATTTGCTCCGTTCATCTTTCCCTCGATTCTGACTAGTCTCCCAGTCCCTGCCGCTTAAAACCATCCCCACAGCATGATGCTGCCACCACCGTGCTTCACCGTAGGGATGGTGCCAGGTTTCCTCCAGACGTGATGCTTGGCATTAAGGCCAAAGAGTTCAATCTTGGTTTCATCAGACCAGAGAATCTTGTTTCTCATGGTCTGAGTCCTTTAGGAGCCTTTTGGCAAACTCCAAGCGGGCTGTCATGTGTCTTTTACTGAGGAGTGGCTTCCATCTGGCCACTCTACCATGAAGGCCTGATTGGTGGAGTGCTGCAGAGATGGTTGTCCTTCTGGAAGGTTCTCCCATCTCCACAGAGGAACTCTGGAGCTCTGTCAGAGTGACCATTGGGTTCTTGGTCACCTCCCTGACCAAGGCCCTTCTCCCCCAATTGCTCAGTTTGGCCGGCGGCCAGCTCTAGGAAGAGTCTTGGTGGTTCCAAATATCTTCCATTTAAGAATGATGGAGGCCACTGTGTTCTTGGACCTTCTGTGTCTCGACACAATCCGGTCTCGGAGCTCTACGGACAATTCCTTCGACCTCATGGTTTGGTTTTTGCTCTGACATGCACTGTCAACTGTGGGACCTTTTATTTAGACCGGTGTGTGCCTTTCCAAATCATGTCCAATCAATAGAATTTACCACAGGTGGACTCCAATCAAGTTGTAGAAACATAATAATAATAAATAATATGCCATTTAGCAGACGCTTTTATCCAAAGCGACTTACAGTCATGCGTGCATACATTTTTGTGTATGGGTGGTCCCGGGGATCGAACCCACTACCTTGGCGTTACAAGCGCCGTGCTCTACCAGCTGAGCTACAGAGGACCACGTCTCAACGATGATTAATGGAAACAGGATGCACCTGAGCTCAATTTCGAGTCTCATAGCAAAGGGTCTGAATACTTATGTAAATAAGGTATTTATTTATTTTTGCAAAAAAACTAAACCTGTTTCGCTTTGTCATGAGGTATTGTGTGTAGATTGATGATGAAAAAAATGTATTTAATACATTTTAGAATAAGGCTGTAACGTAACAAAATGTGGAAAAAGGGAAGGGGTCTGAATACTCTCCGAATGCACTATATGGATGATATAGAAATTAAATATATACAGGTTAAAAGTAATTACTAAATGTTCCACCCTTAAATAGAATTGTGACATGTTCTTGTTTTAAGTATGATGTACTAGTTAACCAATATTGCATGATGTGATGAAGCAAATTATTTTCACTATAGGCTTAGACTGTTGTTTCCAAATAGTGGGTAAACAGGTTAGGTACCATTGCTAAAGAGTAACGTTGAGCTTTTAATCATGGGGTAAGAATATAACTGTTGTGGGAAACGAGGAAGTCTAGTCTGAGAAATCAGAACAGCTTATGAAAGAGGGGTTGTGAAACTGAGACACCACCCCCCCACCCAGAGTGGAGAGTATAATTGTTGTTGTGTTATAATATTGTGAAACCAAGTCAGGGAGTGTCTCTCGGGACAAAGAATGTGTGTGTGTGTGTGTGTATATATAAGGTTGGTCCTCATTGTGAGGGGCAGAATTCTCTGAATAAAGACAACCTGACTATTGCAGACGGGGGCTCTGTCCGTTTCTTGATCCAAAGCATTACAACCTTTGGGAGATGCACAGAGACACTGAAATAGTTGAGTTCAACCATTGAGAGTAAATAATTATCGTGACAATGGAGGAAATTACTGAGTAGTTTGGTTCATCAGGCTGACCTCCAGTCTTCGCTTGAAGTTATTGAGGGATGATGTTTTGGCAATGTGAAGATAAGAATTCCAGACTATGTTACCTCTGACTATGTGAGGTACGGCAGTGGGGAGGGTGAAGGTTATCGCAGTTAAATAGATTTCAGAATTAACCTGGAAGAATCCATTGAAGGGTTTAGGTAAAGTTTATGAAAACCAACAGAACAGGAGAGAAATGCTGGTTTCAATGGCATATGAGGAAGTATTTTTGTTAGGTTTCAAACAATTATGTGTTTTCAAAATGCATAGCCTACTGCCTCAAGCTCACATTGCTAAGTGGTGAGTGACGAACTGATATTCTGCCTACTGTTCCCTATGCACTTAAATGGGAGTGGCACTTCAATTAACAGTTGAGAAATAGAAATGGTAACTATTTTTAATCGTGTCCAAGTTTTTTTAACACACAATTGCATTTAGAAATGTTGCGCAATGACTGGTCTTATAAAAGCACGTTTCACTCCAGCAACAGTGAGCTGAGTAGCTGCAACAGGTCTAGCGCAGTCTGAGGTGATATTCTGCTCAAAATAGGCTCTGACTGCATGTTGTGCGCGTGTGATAAATAAAATACATGACTAATGTAAATACACATGCAGCAATTTAATTCCACACAATTATGCTAATTAAGCTATAGACCGAAAAGCATTAAGGTCATTGGTATTTCCATCAATGAATATAAAGCATTATTTTGCAATTTGATATTTATTTCTCCCAGTCAATTTGTCTGGCAACAATTTTTTTCGGCTTTTCATTTTTTTGGGGGGGGGGTCAAATCCCGCAAAATACCAGCTAAAGGAAACCCTGGAACAATATAATACAAAACACACAAAAACATATTTTTGACTGCACTAGGCCTTTTAATAATGCTTTCCTGTGGATATTTTGGCTCAAATTCCCAATGGTAGGCTATAAGGTCCAAAGTAATTTCAAATGGAATTTTATTCAAGATTCGTGAAGCACATGGGGACGTTTTCAGTGATGGGTTTTTAAGTGACGATGTTGTCCAAGAGGGATAGCATCGTCGTATACACTGCTATGGCCTTCCCTGCGTTCACTTTTTCCTAGTGGGTTGTTGTCCAGTGCCTTCCTTGTGCCTGTCCCATAGATTGGTTGTCATAAAACAATGAAAAACTGACCTTCTCTGAAAGCCTTACTTGTAGGTTGTGTCGTTTTAAGTATGCTGTTTTGTTAAATGCCGAGTGTGGTCAAAAACGTGATTGTCCTGTGTTTTTATATATATATTTCCATCTGAGGTTCGAGTAATACTGTGAAAGTGGTGATAAGCCCTTTTTAGTGTAAGAGTTGTTTGAAAAGACTAAAATTCCAGCCTGTTTTGGTGGGATGGAGTTTTGGCCTGGCTGGTGACATCACCGGGCGGTAAATTAGTTAATAGACCAAAAAGATTTTCAAACCTCTCAATAACAGCTAGTTTTCCATTTTCCCCTCCCCACTCAGAACACTCCCAGGCAGTCCTACCAAAATTGTTGCTTGAGAAAATGCTCTTTACTAAGAACCTATTTTCATTTATTTTTTACCATTTTTATTTAAAACAATCACAGTAAGGTACTTAATTGTTAATCAGAAATTATTTGAAATTGAGATCAAAACGGCTGCATTGAACCTTTTTAAAATTATACAGTATAATGGCAAAGGTGCATAAAGTTGTCATTGTTTTAGCACTATCTACCGAGTTTTTAAACTACAGCGTGCAACATGGTTCAATGCACCAGTAAATCAGCACCATCTACTTTTTTAGGTTTTTCAAATTGGCAGCATCTTGGAGGTAAAATTGGGATCATGTATACTGTGCTAATGATAATACAAAAGAGTAACAGAGCAATGCACAATAAGGCGAACTTAGCCAACAAGGCATTTGTGGTAAGTGCATGGGGGCTGTCATTTTTATGCATCTCCGCTATTGGTTGACTTCCTCTTCTGTATTCCTCCAACAGATCAGAGGAATGACCATTGACGAGGCCATTGCACAGCTTGAGTTCAACGACAAAAAGGGGGCAAAGATCATGAAAGAGGTATGTTTTAGCTCCTATATTTTATCCTTGTGTGACTGTCTACAGCATGCTTTAGCTAGTTTTGGAAAACAATGCAACATTTGCTTTAGGCGTCCATCCATGTTTCTCAAACATCAAATTTCAAAGTGTTTAAGTTTAGGCATTAACTCCGAATGGTAAGGGTTAAGGTTTGGGATAGGCTTAAAATAAAAAGATCAAAAACAACTTTCTATCACTGGATTCGAACATGCAACCTTTTGAACCAGAGGCAGATGCTTGCGCCCATCTGCCATCCCCGTCAACAACGCCCTAGCGAAACCGAAACCTACAGCGCTCACTGTTGCCCCTAGTGGCCTTGTTTCCACGTCATCTCCCGACGTCCTCAGACATGGATGGACGTCGAGTACTGATTTGTATCACCGGTGACCTGCCTGTGTCCAGTAGTTCTGTAGTTGTCAGTGTTTGGCCGCTGTCTTTCATGATGTGATACATTGTTGTATTTCTAAGGTTCTCTTGGAAGCCCAGGAGATGGCAGTCAGGAATCACAATGTGGAATACAAGTCCAATTTATATGTTGGTAAGAGTCAACTGTCGTACATCTTCTTGAAATCTTACACATCAAATTGTATTAGTCTCATATACAGTTTACAGCAGGTATAAAAGGCGCAGCAAAATGCTTGTGTGCTAGCTCCCTCAATGCAGTACGTTAATCAATATCAATAATAATAATAAATAATAATAAGTCATAAATAAGTAATAGAAGAGGTAGTATGCATAGTAATAATAGACTATATTTACATATGTGGGTAGTGTCTCGGTCACATAGTAGAATAAATAGTATATAATCGAACAGTATATAATAGAACAGCAGTATTGACTGTGTGAGTGCTTGTGTGTTTGTGTAAGGGTTGGATCTGTGGATACTAGTCAGTGCAAATAATCTCTAAAGTGCAGATAGTCTCTAATACACAACTTCATACACATAATATCTTGTTCGAATCCTCTCACAATAAAAGGTATGACAGAAATTGCCCATGCTTGCCCTAAATGGCATGATTGAATTCCTGGATGTAAATTGTTTTAACACAAGGTTAGAGTAAAGTGTTGGTGATCATTAAAGGGTGTATAGTGCATTCTAATCACATCCTAACTGTTTCAAATGGAAAAATAAATGGAAATTTCTTGATAAATCACAATAGGGATGTAATTTTAGATGCCGGAAAATAGACTTTTCTTCACTTCAGAGGCTGGGTATGATTTATGCAAATGTAATGCAGAGGTTATTATAGATAAACAAATGATGTGATTGACATTCAAATGCAATTCTGGAATGAAATCTGTCATTGTGTTCTCTCTCTCTCATGCGCGCGCACACACACAATCTTTCACACACTCTTTATCCCCTTCTCCCTCTCTTCAGCGGAATCGTTCTCCAACAAGGGGAAGTACCTGAAACGTATCCGTTACCATGGCAGAGGAATGTTTGGGATCATGGATAAAGTGCACTGCCACTACTTTGTCAAGCTGGTAGAGGGGCATCCACCGAAGGCAGAGCAGAAGACTGGCTTCGACCAGGCCAAGGAGTACGTTGAACAGCTCAAGAGTCGCACCATTATCCACGCACTATAGGGCAACTAATACTCTGTATGTGATTTGATATTTGTTGTAAATAAATAATGTATTGTATCATTTTTGCGGGATTGTCTCTACGATTCTGGCTGTTCTCATTTAGGTTTGATTGTGCTGGAAAATCGGCCAGATGTTGAGATAAGTAGTATTTATTTATTTTTGTTGCGAGATTGTCTGCTTTTGATCGCACCCAGCAGTTCATTGTTTACATTCACATTGACATTTTAGTCATAGCATACGCTCTTAGAGGCGGCAGGTAGCCTAGCGGTTAGAGCGTTGTGCCAGTAACCTAAAAGTCGCTAGTTTCAATCCCCGAGCCGACAAGGTGAAAAATCTCTGTGCCCTTGAGCAAAGCATTTAACCATAAATGCTCCAGGGTCGCCATTGATAATGGCTGACACTGGCCGTCTCTGGGAGTTGGGATATGCAAAAAAAATCATTTCCAATTCATGCAAACGTATAATACTCCCTTGAAAAATACACTATATATAAAAGTATGTGGACACCGCTTCAAATTAGTGGTTTCGGCTATTTCAGCCACACCTGTTTGCTGACAGGTGTATAAAGCACACAGCCATGCAATCTCCATAGACAAACATTGGCAGTAGAATGGCCTTACTGAAGAGCTCAGTGACTTTCAACATGGCACCATCATAGGATGCCACCTTTCCAACAAGTCAGTTGGTCAAATTTCTGCCCTGCTAGAGCTGCCCCGGTCAACTGTAAGTGCTGTTATTGTGAAGTAGAAACGTCTTGGAGAAACAACGGCTCAGCCGCGACGTGGTAGGCCACACAAGCTCACAGAACGGAACCGCCAAAAAATTACGTAGTGCGTAAAAATTGCCTGTCCTCGGTTGCAACACTCACTACCGAGTTCGACACTGCCTCTGGAAGCAACGTCAGAACAAGAACTGTTCATCGGGAGCTTCATGAAATGGGTTTCCATGGCCGAGCAGCCGCACACAAGCCTAAGATCACCAAGCGCAAAGACAAGCTTCTGCTGGAGTGGTGTAAAGCTCGCCGCCATTGGACTCTGGAGCAGTGGAAATGCATTCTCTGGATTGATGAATCATGCTTCACCATCTGGCAGTCCGACGGCCAAATCTGGGTTTGGCGGATGCCAGGAGAACACTACCTGCCCGCAACCATAGTGCCAAGTGTAAAGAATAATGATCTGGGGCTGTTTTTCATGGTTTGGGCTAGGCCCCTTAGTTCCAGTGAAGGGAAATCTTAACGCTACAGCATACAATTACATTTTAGACGATTCTGTGGTTCCAACTTTGTGGCAACAGTTTGGGGAAGGTCATTTCCTGTTTCAGCATGACAATGCCCCTGTGCACAAAGCAAGGTCCATACAGAAATGGTTTGCTGAGATCTGTGTGGAAGAACTTGACTGGCCTGCACAGAGTCCTGACCTCAATCCCATCGAACACCTTTGGGATGAATTGGAACGCTGACTGCGAGACAGGCCTAATTGCCCAATATCATTGCCGGATCTCACTAATGCTCGTTGCTGAATGGAAGCAAGTCCCCTCAGCAATGTCCCAACATCTAGTGGAAAGCCTTCCCAGAAGAGTGGAGGCTGTTATAGCAGCAAAAGGGGGACCAACTCCATATTAATGCCCATGATTTTGGAATTCTGGAACGAGCAGGTGTCCTTTTATACTTTTGGTCATGTATTGTATAAACACCCACCATTTTTTTTTTTTTTTATTACAGAGCGACTTGCAGTTAATGTCACATTTTATTTTTAGTAGAACGTTCAAAACTATCCTCAAATCGGCAAGATTGGTGTTAATAAAAATACAAAATAAAATACATTTTATATATAGTATATATTTTGATATTATACTCCATGGACTGCATAAATCAGTTGGAAAAGGAAGACCGATGAATTGGTGCTGCATTTCCATTATTTTCTAAAGTTGTCAGAGACCAAAATATTATTTTGCACTCTAGCAACTGCAATGCAAGCTCAAAACTCAATTTCAATGTTGGTCATGCATGCATATTGTTTTTCTGGAAGAGCGTAAACTTTGTTTATTTATCATGAGACTGCATTATGACATTGCATTATGTTTTGACCTGTGCAAAGCACTGCTGAAATCCCTCAACCACAGCATCAAAACGAAAACCTTGTCAGGAGGCACATCATCACGGCTGAATAGACATTTTGGTTTGCCTCCAACCTCTCTGAATCCAACAGCCAAATCCCCTTCATGTCGGGACTCCCCTGACAGTGTCTGGTTTTGGATGACAACAGGAACCAAGCCATCTCCCCATGTGTAATCCGGTCACACCAGCTCCCATTTCTATGCTCCATTTACTTCTGGGTCTGTGACTGTTATGAGTGTGGACAGGGCTGTCCTAGGGGCCTGACTGCATTTAAAAAACGGTGTGACTTGATAGTGCTTTAAAATGCTGTTGTAAAGAAGAAGCGGTCTAGCATTGACATGGTGTCTTCTCCAATGGAGCGCCATTCTGTGTCTTAATCTGCATCTAAAGTGGAAATGATTTATTTTTTAAATAGTCTGTTTCCCAATGTTACCCATTGACTGACATTCACCTTGATATTTTGACTTACTCAACCCATCATCAGCAAGCTCCATCATTCTTTGACAAAATTGTTTACAGTTTCTGTGTATGTCGTCAGTTTTATATGAAGGTTTTTCCCATCTTCTAAAGGCCACAGGTTGTGGGAGCAGTCTGGGAGGAGGAGAGGCCTTGAGCTGGGTCACTGCTGTTCCTAATTGCCCTTTAGTTCCCCACTCCTTATGTTACAGATCTGGCCAGCCTGTCTGATCTGTCTGTCACTTCATCCTGCCAAAGCCCATGTCGGCTCCAAATGGCTTTGAGTGTATTTTCAAATAAAATGCCACTTTCTGGACCCAATTTAAGCAGACAAGTGCCCTCAATTTCAGGTTAGAGCCAACAACTATCACCTTGTTCCCAGAGCACAATGCTCAGCAGAACTACCAAAAGTATAGCAGTTGTTCTTGCTTCTGTTTTTTTTTTAATACCCACTCACACCTTAGTAAAGCACAGCACAATCACAGACTTGCATACTGTACATCAGAGCTTTTATGTATGCAGTATAACAAATGCTTCCATGCAGTGCTGCCTATACGCAGACTATGTGCTGTCTTTCGGGGACTCAACCTACTGTTGAGAGATAGCATAGTAGAATACAGAACATGTATCAGCAGTTTTCATGATGTTAAGAATGAACAAAAATTCAGGCGAGGGGACCAGACCACTTTAACTAGTTGCCTTGAACGCAGGTCCTCAACAAGCATCCGCTGCAACTCATTGCTAATCAGTCTCCAAACCTGTCCTCACGCTCCTTAATCACCACTGCCACCCTACTTAAACCTGACCAAACTAACATTCCTCTTCTTGAGAGGAAGGCAATGTTTAAGTTCTTAGAATCCCAGTACACGGCCAGAGTGATTGAGGAGAAAGGATTAGCCCAGGGGAAAATGCCGTCCCTTGAGAGAACAAGAAGTGCAGTATTATCATAAGGAGACATATACTTGGAATACGGAAGAGGAATGGAGGGGAAAAAGAGAGGGAGGAAGAGGGTGAGCTTGAATTGGTTAACAGATGGTGGAAAAAGGGAGATTGTTTGTTAAAAAATAATTTGTTAAAGAAGGATCGTAGAAAGTGTGAGCAGAGTGAGCTGTACGCCAGATTGACGACTGGAGGAGAAATAGAAGTGAGGGCGAAGTGTGGTAGGTGTGAAGTTCTCGGAACCCGAGGCTTGCACCGAGGGTCAGGATAAAGATGAGTCTAACGGTAGGAGTGACCCCCCTACTCGCTGTTTATTATTTATGCAAAGTCACTTTACCCCTACCTACATGTACAAATTACCTCAACACCTGTCCTCACGCTCCTTAATCACAAAGGAATGTTTAGCATTGGGGGAAGTAGTGGAATGTTAATTGTAGGGGTGCCCATGGGCCTGAGGATCAGAAATAGCTGGTGCGCGAGAGGCAGGTTGATGTTTCCAGGGTTTGAGGCAGTGAAGAAAGTAGAGGAAGATTGGGCAAGGGGGAAGGATCCTGAGAGTAGTGGTGTGAGTAGTAGATCTGTACCAGTACAGAGGGATATGCCAACACATGATATATGCTTAAGTAAGATTGGATTTTTTGCGTTTTATAGCAATGGTTATCAACTGTGCTGCAGGGATGGACCATAAGTAGCAGAAAATTGAGGTTGTGGTGGCAGCCGCAGAGTTACAGGGTGTGTTGAGTGGTGGTGTCCTGTCCTTTCAGGCTGTTGGCCTGAGGTTAGACTAACTAGATTTAAATAGTGGAGTAAGGTGGTGGGTTTTTAGTGAGTGTCCGGTTTGATGGTAGGGTATTTGTTGATTTTTATTTGTATTTATTTTATTTTATTTTTAAGCAAAGTATAAGGGAGGTATACTCCAGTCTAGTAGGTGGCGGTAATGTAACATTTATTGGATGCCAACTGCCGTTAAACCTCATCGAAGAAGACGTTCCTCTTTGTTCTGCAGTGCATGTCGTGCTGCACAACACTGTTACTAGCCTCATCAAGTTTTGCTGAGCAAGTTCTCCGCTCAGCAAGTTAATTATATTTTGTCGCACCTGCTCCCGTCAGGTTTTGTTCACTAACCTCTACTCTGTTCGTCTTTCAACTTTGCTGTTAAAATCAGTTGGCTCTTGGCGTTTCATGCTTTTGTTTTGTTTTCAATTGCTGTCTTCAGCTCTTTATATATCACGGACCTGCTTTCACGGCATTTCCTCTCCGCCAAACCGGCCAGCTCCGCAGCCTATTCTCAGTGTGCTCTCCCGAGTGCATTTCCTGACTGTCCACGGCACTGCTTCACCGACTGCACCAGCGCATCTCCCGGACACATGCAAGCCGCATGCCCTGCTCCTCAGTGGAACCGTAAGGCTGTGCCGCCAACCATCGCTTCCTTGGTCCTGGCTGTTCAACCATCGCAGGTACAGTAAATCATTTTCAATACATTCCGTATTCATTTCCATTCACGTTAAGAGTAATTGATAAAAGCTGAATGGCACTCTTCATAATGCCATTAATTAAGCTTGT